TTACAATTAATTCCTTAAATAGTACAAAAACAATGAACAAATGCACAAATAGGACTAAAAATGCATTGGTTCGCCAAAGTTACCCTTAAATTCTAAACATATTTATAGATGAAAATTAAAAAACAAGAAATCCTTTTTAAAACCCTAGCTGCACGTCCAGTTCCAAAACTATTGCCACTGCCTTGAGCCAAAACTCCACCGCCTCCCACTGTCACCGCCGCAGCCGCAAATCCTAGCACCATCATTACTAATGCCGGTGTCGGCTATATAATTACCAAATCTGTCATGAAGTTGGCAAACTATTTATACTGGTATAAAAAGAAAGTTTTTCTGCCATAAATTTTGCAAAACATGAAGCCACATATTCAAAATCGAGAACCCAGAATTTTAATTGAAATTCAAAATTTGATGAAATCACAAAATAGAACTATGAAAACAGTGTCCAAAATTTAATGAAATAAAAAACTCAAAATTTAATGAAACCGGGAAAATTTCTTCCGAAAAATAACAAAATCCAAGAATAAAATTTGAATTTTTGGTCGAAAATAAGAGGAGGAGGTGGAGGAGATACTGGAAGTATGGAATCGACGATCATGGTGGAGGAAGAGGAGGCGTAGAGAGGCGACAAATAGAGACGGTGGTGTCAATGGAAATTAAACTGGCGGCAGAGCAAAACAGTAGAGGCAGAGCCATATGGTAGTGACACTTTTATAGTGACACTTTCGATTATAATACTCTTAGTAACACAAATGTGTCACTATTTTGTAACAAAAATACTCCAACATTGCATAGTTACACTTTTTTTTTAACTTAACGCACGCGTTACTAACTTATGGGCCGGCCTACAGGGTTTAATATTCGGACTAATATTTCAACTCAGCACAGTCATCAGCACCTACATTGGCTCTCGTTCCCCTCTCTACGAACCCTAGATCGATTGATTGCGCGATTCTCCATCTCCCGTTTCACTCACACACCAAGGCTTGAATGTGCGGCTTACACTAAGGCCGTAATGCACGATTCTCCATCTTAGCGATCGATTGATTGCCGGATTTCTTGGCTCCGCTGCAGGACTCGCCGGTCAGTCCTTGCATATCACTAATCGTTGTCTACTCTTCTACGATATTATCAAACAACGACTTGAAGAGCTGCTAAGACTGCTGTCTCAGTCGAAGCTCCAGTACAGAGATTTCAGGAACCCCTTCTTGCTTCGTCCAAGTAATTGTAAATAATCCCACCGCCCATCTTCTATAGTTTCTTATGTTTTTATTGTTTTTAAGTATTGTTGTTTAACGTTTTAGTTATTTAAAAGTTCATATTTTGAACTAGTTTATACCATCATCCGTTTTTTATAACTAATTGACTGATTTTTTAACGCTTTTAGACTTGAGGGAGTACGCTATTAAAGTATTAGTCTATGGGAGTACTACTATTTATTCTGCTAGAGTATTAGTCTACGGTCAATCTGATGTTTGTTTGTTTTTAATTTAACAATATTAGTTATTAGTTATTACTTATTACTGTATTTATTAGCCTACGGTTTGAACTTTAAAGTTATCATACAAAACTATCATTCAGCTTAATAATTTATTTGCTTAATACTCTGCTTAATTCGGGTGTTGTGAGCTACTGGTGAAGCAGAAATGGGAAAAGGGTGCCTCTGATACGCAGGGGGAGGTGGTAGAGATTTAGTGAAGCAGGAATTGGATTATTAGGCTTTCTAATGAGTTAACTGATACACTTTAGCCCCTCAGATTTGGCTTAACAGCAGCATGTGGAAAGAATATTATAGGTATTTTGAAAAATATTCATTAAGAAATGAAGGGTAAACTCTTATGTTATGAGTGAAATTCAAGGAGATGAAGTTATATTGCCAAACTATACTATTCTTTTGGAAGATGAACTAGACTATCTTATTGACCTCGTTCATGGCATCTTGTCTAGATGAGCAAGTATTCTTCTAAAGATTGCTATTTTCATCTTGTATAGGGATTTATACTTCAATAATAATGACATAATACGAAAAAGGTGAGATTGTTACTTTTCTAGCTTATATAGTGGAGGTCAAGGAAAGAAGAGAGTTCATTCTCCATCTTCTTTATCTTCATTTGCAGGACCATTCAATTTTGAGAACGGTAACACAAGTGACAGCCTCCCCATTCTCCATATTAATCCCTATAGCTGGACCAAGGTAATGATTTTTATTTGCTCACACACTTATTTTCTTTTATTCTTCTTAGATGTCAGTTTAATCACAGTACCATTTATGAAACCCTATAATATTTCTTTCATAGGAAGTTGTATCTAAATGCCACCGACAGAGTTGATACAGTAAGTGTTTCAGTGCTACTATATTGTCTATTCATATCTCACTCACACGCTCAAAACACACCCTTTATTGGTCTATATGCACAACTGCACAAGGTATAGTACCTTTATTTGCCTAAATTTAATTAGTCCCTTTTATGTAACAAATTCATGTCACTGCCCTTAAACTTTGGAGATTGAAAATGCAGAATGATAGAGTTGCTACTGTATGGTTGAGCAATGCAGAAGTGAGAAATGCAAACAATGCAGAAAAAGTAAGATGATTATGCTATCCCAACACTATGTCATCTTTTATATAATTAAGTGGTTAACAATTTTTTGGCAAAACAGGATATCACTGGCCCTTTGGAGATATGTACGTAAAGACTTGTCTTTTCATATGATGCTGGAAGCATGATCAAATATCATTAAAATTTAACCTCTTGGGGTTATTGGATAGTTATATTCAGGTAAAATTTCTATATTCACTTCTGATCGAGTTCTTTATGTACTTTACATTAGTGATGTCAACAAAACAAGGAGCCCCACCCGAGAGTCCAAAAAACTTAAGGATTTTTTGGTCATAAAGGGTAAGGCCCGAAAAATAAAAGAGACCCAAACAACCAAACTAAAAAGTAAAGATGTCTAAGAGGCCTAGCCGGATTAATATCACTAGTCACTATGCCAATATATCGATTGAATAATCAACTTTTCTTGATAAATAGTGAAGTTCTTGAGGAGTAATATCACTATTTGATATGTTGATGCTTATATTTCTCAAAAACAGAACATTTAACATGGGAGGCAGATGGGGCATAGTTTATAAAACCGTGTTTATAAAATCCTGCAGGGAAGAATTAACATTTTAATTTAAAGAAATTAAGAAAATCACCACAACCTCTAGATGGAAGGTTTCTCTAATCTTGATGATTTAATCTTTGTTGAACTAAGCTTTTTACTCTGACTTTCTGATCTTCATTGTTGTCTAAGATTGTACTTTTTTAAAGTCCTCAATAACAAGTCTCAATCGTACATGTATTTCTCATAGGTTTTCAACTTCCCATTCTAGAGGGAAGTTCTTTCTTCCCATTCTCATGATTCCAGATAGATGTTTCCTGACTTGAATTATAATATGCATTTTGCAGGTCACATGTTCTTTCTTGATGAATGCTGCTGCTATGAAGATAGGCGATGTGTACAAAATGTTATTGGCATTGCCAATTAACTTTGCTATATGTGTGTACGACGTGTAGGCGGCTCACTTTTTGGGACTAAATTATGTAGTTGCTTAGAATTCTATTAATCAATGTTTTCTTAGTGGTAAAGTGATCACTTTAGTGTTGGATGTTGCTGGATCTTTTGTCATGTTTCGTTCAGCAAAGTATTTCTTGTTTTGCATATGCCTAGAATGCAAACTTCAAGAACAATGTAACTTTGACATTGAAATGAATATTCTACTTTAAAGTTTAAATGTTCAATCTATGTTTTGACTTTTGACATTGAAATGACATATTTTTAAATATAATTGAAATGAATTTTCTAAATTACCCATCAAATGGAATGCTGAAATAGTGCAAAACAAAGTGATACCAAAGTGTCACTAAAGTATGGTGTTGCTTGAATGGAAAACATAATTATGTGATACCGTAGTGTCACTAGAATACGAGATGTAAAAGTGTCACCGAATAGTTATGTCACCTATGTATCACTAACTAGTGATACCAGTGTCACAATTTTGTGACACTTGTAGTGACACTTAAAAAGTGTCACTATTTCCCACTTTCATTGACACTTTTTTAGTGTCACAGAAACTTTCAGTGACACTAATTTGGTGTCACTGTAGGGCATTTTTCTAGTAGTGATATAAGGCACAGAGGCGAGTAGGGGAGGGTATACTGGTAATCTTTAGTCCGATTTAGGGAATTAAAGTCAATGTCCTATTTGTTCATTTAAGTTTAGTATCAGCCCTATTTAGGACAATTAGTGTTTTAGTTATTTATATTAATATTAATAACACTCTGAAACAATAAATTTAGCAATTAGAAACATACTAATCACCTTGTTATTCGGCGACTAAATTTGATCTTCTACTATATTCACCCCGTTTGGTAACGTTGAAATCGGCTGAGTCGGCTAATTCTGCTGAAATTTATGAAGTTCTGACAGAAGTGGTTGTATTGGTTGTTTCTGCTGATTTGTGAAAAAGTTATATTTAAAATATATTATATTAATAAAATAAAGAAAAAATTATATGAAAAATAGCTAAAATAATGCAGCCAGAAAAGTAACCCCAACATATCTTTTTCTTATTATTACACAATTCAACGTGTAAAATCAAAAGTTACGTGTTCGATTAAAACGTTGGCTGATAAGTTTGATAAGCTGAAAAACAGTCACCAAACGGGCACATTATATGCATGACTAAATATAACATGTACATAAGAGTTTTGGACATGTAAGAATTTATATACTCCCTATTTTATTGTTTGCTACACTTTCCTTTTTTGATGTATTCAAAAATTTGCTACACTTTCCCTTTTTGGTAAGTTTCTCCTTTAAAAATACGAGTACTACTCAACTACTCTTACTTTTTCTACTTTTTATCTTTCATACTTTTTCACCATCTCTCCTACTTTTTTTACACTATTCATTACCCCTACTATTTCAAACAAAAAAATACCAAATAATGAATAGGGATCAAAGCCATTGGAATAACAAATAAGTACCATTTCAATCCTTGAATAATAGGAGTAATAAAAATAACAATGATAATAATAATGTGAAATCATCACCGGTCTATTATGACTCATAACTTTAATTTTATGTGGTGTTTATCAATAACAAGTCTAAGTGATGGGAAGATGAGACATTAAGGTGAGGGGTGGTCTTGGAGCCATTTTGAGAAATTGGTAAGAGTGTTCATGTCAGCTCTATAATGCTTCTGGGTGAACTCTAGGAGGGTGGGCCATTTGAAGTCCGGGTAGAGCCTTGGGTTGTTTGAGTTCACCAGCGCTGGCGGTGGGCTCACCACCTTATCCCCATTCGGGCAAAGAAAGAAAGCCATTGATTTCCTCGGACTCTGGTTGTTCACCACTGCCCTATGCAAGCAACTTTTATATATTCCATTCGACAATGCCTGCCACAAGATAGAAGAAGAATTGGAATTAATTGTGATACAAGAATTTTATTTTGTAACACTTAGAAAGAAAGTAGAAAAAAGATTGGCCAAATTAATTTTTCTTGGTTAATGGTGATCAACTTTAACCAATGATATCTTGTACTACCTCCGTCCCAAAAAACTTTGTCATTTTCAAGACATGACCGACTATATCTTTTTATTAAAAATTATTTATAATACGGAATATAAAATTATATGAAAATGTTCTTTGTTAAAAGTACTTTCATAAAAGTATAAAATTTCTAGCTTTCATAATATTATACTAATCAAAATTAAAGTTCAAATTTTTAAAATTGGCAAAGTTTTTTGGGACGGAGGTAGTAATTTAAAATATGAAAATTATATGAGCTTATTCTTTATTAAAAAATCTTTCATAAAAGTAGAAAATTTATAAATTACACACAAATATAATCCCTAAAATTGTTGTCTAAACTTTAACACCATTGACCAAGAAAATTCAAATTGACCAACCTTTTTGGGACGGAGGTAGTATTATCTTTGTCCCTGGCTACACAAGATGTGGTGATCCAATTGTTAAGAAAAGCGAAAAAATGAAATGAAAAAATTTGTGATGAGACAATTTTCGTGACACGGGCCGAAGCAAAAATGAAACAATTATAGTGAGAGTGAGGGAGTATTTTATACTTATTTATAGACTATAAATAAACAATGTATTTAAGAGTAATTTCATAGTACAGCAAGGATTTTTGGTGGGTATTATCCAAAATTAGGAAGGAAGGATTTTGGCAGGGATATGCGAAATTTGTGTCAAAAACAGTTTGGCACGAGCTATTTGGCATGAAATTATCGGTAAATCCAAGTCAAATTTGTGTCAATTCCGTAATTTTGTAGTGTATAGAGTTATGTGTTTATTATTATCTAAATGCTCAGCGGTTTTCTGATGTTGACCTGGTTGACCCTTGACCCGATTATATGGCCGGTTTGCTCCTGGTCATGTTTTGATAATATAGGCCGGTTTAAGTTTGATTTGAAATAGTAGATGTTTATTTTATACATATTATGCAACAGTTAAAGTCTGATTTGGTTTGATCGATACATATTACATTGTATGTTACTACTGTATCTTGTTTTGTAAGGATGTTTTCGCTATACAAAAATATGAAAATTTGCTTATTAATTTGAACTTTTAATTTTTTTAGTTTATTCTTTTGTCGATCTTTTCATAATTTAGTGGGTATGCACTGTATTGTCTTCTTTTCGATCGGATTGGAAATGCAAAATTACAATGGGTTCTCTCTTCTAATTGTTTTAAAACACGAGCCAAACTCGAATGTGCATCACATTTATTAAATATAAATATCCTTCGCGCTGGTAAAACCATATGCATTTTATCTGTCAACGAGTGATCAATCAGTAACCAATAAATAAAATACTAATCTAAGAAATTTGTAAGAACCTAATTTCTTCATAAAATTGAATTTTTTCCTAAAAATAGGAGCACTTATTACGTACCCAACATTCAATATGTTCTCCGTATTGCAATCACTAAAAGCGTGTTTTTATTGTTCTTACAAATTTGGTGAAGTTTTTACAATCACTAATTAAAACGTGAATTTTCCTTAACTCAAATTAATACGCAGTACTACACTACTACGTATATTAAATACTCTTCCATATAAGGATGAATCTGCGTAACCAGTAATTACAATATGAATGATTGAATAGGTTTAATTAATGAATCATAGCCTCATAGGGCCATAGGGGTGGCCAGGTGGGCAAACAAAATTGACAAAAAGGATCCAACTTGACCATAATCGAAGCAAATCGTTTAACTTCCATTCTTTTAAAACGTACGGGTTGATACTTTTCTAAGTTGGTATTTCAAGCACGAAGGGGCGGTTAATAGAAAAGGGGAGTTTATTTAGTTTATATTGAATTAATGAAGTAAAAATAAAGTAAAAATCATTTAAAATCACATGAACTTTAACAAATTTAGTACAAGACAATTTTAATTGTTCAAAACAAAAAGGAAAGACTAGACAATTTTAGTGCCACGAAGGAAATATGACTTCTCCATTCTTTTGAATATACCAAGGTAATATTAGAGTAATTAGACTATTACTCCCCCGTCCCTTAAAACTTTACTAGGTTACTTTTTTTTATCGTCTCATTAATGTTACCACTTTTTTTCTGCACAAACCTCAATAACACAATGTTTAGTTTATTATTTCCGTTCCGGTCAAATTTGGGCCAACTTTTAAGGGACAAAGGGTGTATCTATTGAGAAATGAAGCAAATAAGTCCTCGAACTACAAGTGATCCCCTACAAATACATCCTCGACCCATTGAAATAAAGCAACCGAGCTCTTTTACCAACGGGTACCGGTAAAAACGACACAACTCCTTTATTTTCAATGAGTCGAAAGACGTATTTGTATGATGGTGACAACTCCGGCCGGCACCCATTTAATTTAGATTTAAATAATTCGACTGTATCATTTTGATTGATCCATGTGGACAAATGTATGGTACCTTAAGGGTACCACAGAATCTATCGTTAATGATATTTGTGTTCAAGAATCCAATAAGTTGAGGGTTATTTGGCCCTTTCTCATAATACAAAGGAGTACTAGATTACATACGGAGTGTGGCGCCCCTAATAAGTTTTTCTTGTTTTTTGGTAGGCCCCTAATAAGTAGTAACCCCTAAATCCCTAATAATGATGAAGGATCAAATATATAAAAATGAAAAGCAAAACAGAGAGAACAACAATAATACCATGAAGGTGTCGCCGATGTTAACGACAAAGGCATGGAGGTTGGGGGAGACAGACCGCCACTCGTTTTCGACAAGAACCTGGAGGCCACCAATGGAGTCCTGATGGAGGATGGTGATGGACGTGGGATCACAATGTGGGCCCGTCCCTAGGGTCAGCTCAGGTCTCTGGCATGGCGGGTAGTGGTTCAGCCGCAATATGGACTCGTCCCCTTGGAAGAATTCCCTCAAAGGTTTCCTTCCCACGCCCAAGCTAATTCCCAGCACTTCCAGTATCTCCTGCGAGACCTTTCTCATCTCATTGCTGTATTCTTCATATATCTCCCTTCAATTCCAACACCCCATTATTTAATTTTTAATCTATGATCAATACATACATTGGAAATTTGGAATGAAGTGGAACACTGGAACCTAGCTATCTATTAAAAAAAAGATGGCACCCCATCTCTAAGGGGACCTCAGCACCAACCGAACAGCTAGATAGGAGAATGTAAATTGAGCTCTGATCTCACTCTAATGGAAAGGGAGTGAGGCTCCATCCCAAGTCATTGCTGGGAGTTGAACCCGGGACCTCTTCCCTGTATCACTCCCTTCCTATCGGGTGAGCTACGCCCCGGCACCTAGATATCTATTAAATTATACTACTAGGTACTTCGTATGTGAGTAAGATCATATCATACACCAATGTGTTTAAGACTAGTAGTCAAACTTTAATACAAAAATAAAAATTATATTAGCACCATGATCACATGTTTTTTCTCAAATTTAATTTAATTATATTGAGCACACAATTTAAAATGCAAAAAGCACTTATGGGGATGCAATTAAAATTAGATTGTGCCGGAAGTATTATTTATTTAACAAATGAAATTTTTGAATGTTAACTGCATCCAAATACAATTTAGATTATTTTAAATTATATACATATTGCAACAATGTTTTATTTATAAAAAACTAAAAAACATATAATCATGATGCGAAAATAACTTTTTGTGTAACGTTCAAGGTATATATATTACACACGCAAGTTCAGGGAATTTATCTGACAACCCTTCAAGTCAATGATAATTGTAACTAATAAATTTAATTAGTATAATTTTAAGAAATTAAAGTTATAAATTTCATACTTATATGAAAATATTATTAACAAAGAACACTTTCATATGACTTCTATATTATCAATAATTTCCTATATATTTATTAATGGTAAAAATTTAACTTGGTTAATTTAACCAACAATTCAAAGATGACAAAGTTTTAAGGGACATATCAAATATTTTATAGGAGTATTTTATTGAAATAAATACTTCAATATAATACTCCTTCACGATCGATCAAATATTTCGTTAATGTAAACATGCACATCTATAAGTTTGAGAATATAATGCACGGTATTGGGACATATCATTTTGTTACGATTGCGAGTTTAATTTGGAGTCCAATTTAATATGAGAAAATTCTATAAATGTGTATGCATGTTAATAAATGTTCATAAAGGATTGTTTTTCTCAAAATAAGGATACATGGTCCACTATTTATGAACATTCTTTATGTTTACTTCTATTTATAGCAATTCTTTAATTAATAGCTTAAACAATGAGATGAAAGGCAAACCTTGACCAACTTGATATCATTGTTTCATAAACTAAACATGTTGAGTGGTGATGCACTCCCGTTTAATTTGATCAATATATATAAATTACATTCACTTTTAAGGAAATTATTATGAAATGGAATAAAGAAAAATAATAAGAATGTTAATTTAATACTACATATATGAAAAGGGGAAATGATTCAAATGAATAAATAGAGTTTTAAAGGAATTAACGAACCCAAGAGGAGCAAAATCTGGACCGAACGTTTCCTGGAAATAGTCTTTCACGATGTGGGAAGACTTTTCCTGGCCTGAAGAAATGATCGAAAGAGTTTCCTTCCATGGAAGCTTGCTCGAAAACCTCCCGGTGAAACTGCTGGCATACCCACAAGAGTCCCCCAACTTCCTCAGAGCCTTTTCCTTGTGGGAGAGTGGCAAGTCAAAGAAGAGGTCCATGTAACGGTAAGCCTCTGAGATAATCCTAGAGTCAACGCCATGGTTGACTACCAGAAAGAACCCATGTTTTTTGCACGCTTCATCTACGAGCCTGGACGCTTCCGCGACGGCGAGAGGATCGCCTGAGCGGAAGCGATCCAAGTCGATAACGGGGACCTCGAGTTCCCGGGCTGCCGAGAAGGACGACCCGGGCTTCTCGTGGTCCGGCCACACGAATTGGGTTGGGATCGTGGACTGGTGGCGGAGCACGGTGGCGTCGAAAACCAGTGGCGATTTTTGAGTTTCTTGTGACGCGATCATACATTCAGTCGCCATTGCATGAAAAACGAACGTGAAATGGTCTTTTTATTTATGTGTGTGTTAGAAATGAAAATATACACGGAGTGAAGTCTTTATTTATAGGTGATTGGTTGATAACACTGTGTGATAACATAAACCATATACCTTAAATATCAAAATGATTTCGATCTTAATATGGGAAATGATATAATTAACAATAAATTATCGTTGAGATTTTGACAAGTAACGTCCTCGATATACATGAACTTAAATCGATACGTACATTACATTATTTCAATTCAAATCTAGTTTAATGATGAATTGATGACATGGCACATTGACCCAATCATATGTACACCGTTGATAGAGCTAGAGTATCGTCACATTCACCACAAAATCCAGAATATATGGTCGTGCAAAGTACAAAAACAATTTCAAATAAATTTTTGGACTATTTTTACGTAAAATACTTGGCCTGGCCCAACTTGGCTTAGCGACCCTTGCCACTTCATGCTTGTATAGACGTATAGTTAAAAAAAATGGCCCCACTTACATATACTCTCTCCGTCCCAATTTGTTTTTCAAAGTCAACATTTTTCGGTCAACCAATAATAAAAGTCAACCCTCTCTATGGATACTTAATTCAATTTTTAATAATTAAAATTTACATATTCAAAAACTACATTAAAATTTCTTCAAAGTTGTAAACTCCAAATTAGAATATAATTAAAAATTGACATCCTAATTAAGTGAACAAAACGAGACTGTTTGACTAAGAAAAGTCAAATTTGCAACTCTTTTTGGGACGGAGGTAGTAATACTACGTATGAAGTACTAGTATATAGGAAGGACTACGTATATTGCATCATTCCATTTTAATTATATGTGTTGTTTGACTTTTTTATAATAAAGTGATTGAAAAAATTAAAGCTATGATTGAGATTAAATATAATAAAGTGCAATGATGTATACAACATATTTCTTGTCAAAAAAGAAAATATAACACTTATTTCCGAGACAATAAAAAAGGAAAGTAAGCGTAAAATGGGAAAGATGGGTATAAAATACTCCTTCCATCCCGAATTGATTTGCAAAATTGACTTTTCTTTATCAAACAATTTCATTTTATCATTTAATTAACATGTTAATTATTAATTATTTTTCAATTTGGATTTTGCAACTTTGAAGAGATTCTATTTTAGTTTCAGAATATGTAAATTTTAAATATTAAAAATTGAATTAATTATAAAATACTAATCTCGGTTGTGGTTTGATTCTTATGTGACATGCATAAATTTAGAACCATTATTTAGGATTGTTTTGTCTCGTTTACCTATCCTAAAGTTGTGCATTTCCATTTGGACGATTTCGAAACAGGCTTGCATTTTGCAAATGAATTTGCGTCGCCGCAGGCTTCTCACTTTTGGCTTGCACTTTTTGCCGTTGCAAAAACACTTTTTCTTAAATAAACAAATTCGCCGTGTAATATAATTCTAATCACTCACGTATGTGATTAAACTTTTAAAATGAAACACATACCATAATATACATAGCCATAAATGTAAAAATATGACGAGGGTGAAAATATTCTCGTTATACATGGAGTAACAATTACAGCCGGAGTATATTAAAATATATAAAGAGTACTCCGGCCGGCCATCACGACTAACTACCTATCACCAACTACCTATCACCACTGTCGATTGTCGACAATTACAAATTCTACCAATCGCTGCAAGATTTGATCAGGGTCATCTTGATGTTGTCACAATTAAAATAAACTAATAAAAAGCATTTTCACATGGAAAACACACTTTTTAATAGAGAAATTACTCCAAATAGGAGTAAAAGTAAGTAAAACTCAAAAATAGGACTTCTTATGTTTTTATTCCAAAATAGGACCAATTTACTCCTATTATGAAACATAGAGAATTTGGCATCGCATTTTTACCCCTGCAGTTATTTATTCTTCTCTCTCACTTTCTCTCCCCACAAATGGATCGCACTTCTCTAGGCTCAAAAACCGCACTCATCTTCACCGATCTACTCTGCAAATCGTCTTCTCCCTTCCAGACCCGTGATTTCGCTGCAGGCCATCGCACGCCACCTCCACTGCCTCCACTGCACACCACCTCCGCTGCCTCCACCTTCACCACCTCTGCAAATCATCTTCTCCCTTCCAAGTTCCAAATCGTCTTCTTCCATATTTCAGGTTTTTATCTTCTTCTTCTTCTTCTTCTTCTTCTTCTTCTTCTTCTTCTTCTTCTCTTCTTCTTCTTCTTCTTCATCTTCCTCCTCCTCTTCACCTTCTTCGTTTTTTTCTTCGTATTTCTATGATTTTTAGGGTAATTTACATTCCTCTGATTTTTTGGATAATTTTTACATTGATTTTGTCAATTTTCAAATTTATATTTTCGTATTTTGATTTCTGAGTATTTATACATTTTTTATTTTCCAGATTTTTGGATGATGGCATAGAATTTTGCCAAGTTTGTGGCAGAAATAATGTATACTGACAATCGGATTATGGCAGAAATGTTTTTGAGTAAATCGGCTTTTCTATTTTTTTTCCTTTTACTTCGTGTTTCTGATTATATTAGAGTTTTTATTCCATTAATTTTTTTCGAACATTTGCTAATTCCTTTCATGTTTTTGCCAAATTTATGGCAGTTTCAATTATTATTCCAAGATAAATCTGCCAAATATGTGGCAAATTTAAAATCCATGTTCATGGCAGATTTGAAATTAATTTAGACTAAATATGCCAAACATTTGGAAGTTGCTGGCATTGGAGTTGTGACGGTGGCGGTCGTGCCCGGAGGTGATGTGGCGGCCCTGGAGTTCACAATGGTGGTGGTGGTGGTGGTGGCGGGTGGGCGGCAAAGAATGGTCACACTAGTTTGGATGCGGCGGTGAGGCTGGAGGAAGACATTACTAGCGAGGGTGGCACTGGAGAGACGGCGGCAGGCGGCGCCGGCGAGACGGCGGCAGACGGAACCGGTGAGATGGTGGCAGGCGGCGTCGAGGAGGCGGTGGGCAGGCTGTAGCGGCACCGAAGGTCGGGGAACTGCTCATGTTGAGAATTAGGTTTCATTAGATTTTTATTTATAAATTCAAAGAATAATTTAATGGGGGCATTTTTGTCCAAGCAGGTGATTATATGTCCTATGAAACATACTTTTGTTTTTTGGTCCTATATGTGAACATCGATCCTCTTTTAGTCCTAAACAGATAATTAACCCTTTTTAATATGTTGTCACTTCCATGTCAATGCATGACACTAGCAATAAGGCAATATTAATGTGACAACAAGTATATACCAGGCCGTATACCGTGCAACCGGTGCATGGTGAGCATCATGCACCCATGGTTATATGAAATGTAACTCGTGTGATTCGAAATGTAACTTCAAGTTAATCCAAATGTAAATTGCACTGATTCACATGTAACTCTTTGAAATGTAAACTGCTTTTATTGAAATGTAAACTTGGGAAACAAATTACATGTAACTTGGGATATGTAATTTTAGGCTATTCAAATGTAAATAGCTTTTACAGAGATGTAACTCCATATATATATATATATATATATATATATATATATACATATATATATATATACATATATATATACATATATATATATATATATATATATATATACACACACACACACATATTGTAGCAGGAGCACTGCCTCCACCTTCTATTGTGTTGTTCCTGTAAGATCGCCAATTAGAATGGATAAATTTATGTTTAGTGCTCTTTCCATACCATAGCTTTTAAATATTGAAGATCTGCAAGTCTGCGATCTTTAAAAACAGAGCATAGATGCACATGGCGGACCAACCAATTTTAGGGAAGACGATTGCACCCATTCCACTGCGGTGGCGATGCAACCGGACTGGAGAATTGATGGGCAGGCTCTAAAACACTGCTCTTGAAGATCGATCGATGCTCTTGGAACACGCTATTCTTGGTATTAATTAGGACCGACATACCATGCGCATGGTATTGCCAGTCATACGGTATAATTTGCGAGTATATACATACAAGAATTAATGTCAATGACTCAATTTTAATGTGACAATTTGTGGTACTGGACCATCAATACGAAAATTAACGAAAGTGTTAAATTAATATGCACTAATAAATTAAATAATCGGATAGAGCTTTCAGATATATAATCCTTACTGAGTTTTATGAGGCAACTAGTTTATAAACGCGCCATGCGCGTTGTGTAAATGCCCAAGATCATTGGTAACATATTATTTTATGATGTTAAGAAAAACTATGAACAATTTCTTCAGCCCAAAATATACTTTGTATACTTTAGAGCTCGTTTGGTGGGCTTATTTTTTTGGCTTATCAAGCTTATCAATCAATTTTCACCAAACACGTAAATTTTGATTTCGCGTGATCATGAATCGTGTAATAATAAGAAAAATAATTAGGTTGTAGTTACTTTGCTGGATGTATTGCTGGTTGAAGTTAATATAGGGAATCATTTTAGCTATTTTTCATATTATTTTTTCATTATTTTATGGAAAAATTGTTTTTTTTTCCATAAATCAGCAGAATCAATCAATCTAGGCACTTCAGTTAGAACTTAATAAGTTTTAGTAGAATCAACCAATATAGTTGATTTGGGTATTACCAAATACTCCCTCCGTCCCCTTTTAAATGAGACGGGAGATGGTGGCACGTGTTTTAAGAAAAGTGAGTTTGTGTGGTTGATATTAATTGATAAAGTAAGAATAAAGTAAGAATGATTTTGAGCCACACAAAGTTTACCAAATAAGGTATGGGGCAATTAAATAGGGACATCCCAATATGGTAAAACGGAACATTTAAAAGGGGACGGAGGGAGTATTAAATAGTGATGCATTTATCTAGAATTTTCTATATAGAAAAGGCTAGAAATATTCTAAGAGAACTATAGCTAAAAGTGTTCTATAGAACTCTCTACTAGAGAATTCTTACGTAAAATCTAGAATAGTTAGACAAGTTGTAGAATACTCTAGATTCCTAGCATTTAATAAGGATCTAGAATGATCCTCTAGCTCCTATAAATAGGA